TCATCTACCCCACCTGCTGGTGTGTGCTTTCCCTATTAGAATCTCTCAGCTCCTTGCTAAGCCCTCCACCCTCTTTGTGGCCAGCTCATCATGTCTGTCAGAGATGATGGCCTAGCAATGCACATATCGGGAAGGGACACGCCAACTAGACTTGCTCACATTTTCCATAGGAGGTGTCAGGCATCTCTCTCCCATCCCCACCCCAGAGACAGCCAGGTTTAGGTCACCTGGCTTAGAGGCAGACAGCTGATAGCTAGGTCTTCAAATTTGGGGCCTTTGGAGGCCTGGTGTTGTCTTTCAGTTCCTCTCTGTGCCTGAAATGGGAGCTGGCTCAACGGCAACTTTCATGCCCAAGCAAAAGGTTGCTGATGAATTCGTGATCTCCAGAAACTTGTCCTCAGCCCCACAGCTCTCTGTTTTGAGGCCAAGAGTGTTGGCCAGTCAACCCAGTATCTCCATTCTCCGGGAAAGCCCTGTTTTCATTGTCTTCATAATTAATTATGTAGCTAGTACAGTAACTATTTAACTTTTTATTAAATTTGTGTTTATTTAAGTCACACGCAAATGCTGGACACCTTTCAAGTGCTTAGTAGCCACACATGACTAGTGGCTACTATATTGGACTGTACAAAGAACATTTTCATTACAACAGAACATTCTGGGTCATGTTGGCTTCCACGGCCAGAAACTCCAGTATGTTGGCATCTAAACCACGTTGCTTAGACCATCTCCTAGATCCTAGATCATCCTAAAGCTCCCTTTCCTTTCAAGGGACTCTACACAAGTTTCCAAAATGACTGGATCTGTTGGGATGGGAGGGTATCTGGCAGAGCGATCCTCGGTATAGGAGTCTTCTGTGAAATTCACTTTACCAAGGCTGTATCCAGGCTGTTTCTGCACAAGCAGGACATGCAGGACCCAGGGTGTTCTTGGCATGTGTGACTGACAAGATTTTATTCTATTTGTGAAGGAGAGAACTTGGTGCTCATTAGTCTTGTCTGATCAACCTGGGAAGCCTGGTGTGACAGCTGGTTGTAGAGAGCAGTGTTGGCAGAAGAAGAAAGGTAGAGGGCTGAGGGAACCACAGCTGGAAATATGGATGTTTCTGGACTTGCCCTGTCTGGGATGAGGGAAGAAAGTATCTCTTAGCTTCCCCATGGAGCCTTTGCAGTAGAAGGATTTTGGTGGTATATTTTTGTTTTGTTTTGTTTTCTCTCGCCCTCTCCCACTCCCTCTCTCTGTCTTTGCCTCCATATCTCCCTCTCTCCCTTCCTTCCTTCTTTCTTAAGGTATTTTGTTATTTTTATTTTTATTTTATGTGTATGAGTGTTAGACCTACCTGTAGGTAGGTGCACCCGTGTCGTGAAATGCCCAAGGAGGTCAGAAGAGGGCGTCAGATCCCCTGGTACTGGAGTTACAGATGGTTGTTGGCTGCCATGTGGGTGCTGGGAGTCAAACTGGGTCCTCTGCAAGAGTAGACAGTGAGTGCTCTTAACCTCTGAGTCATCTCTCCAGCCCTCCTTCCTTCTTTCTATCTTTTTTTCTACTGTCCAAAGAGCAGGGGCACTTTGGGTTTGGAGGTTAACCAGAAGCAATTTTCTTTCTGGGACAGGGGCATTTCATTTCTTTATTCCCTGCGAGTTCCTGTAGGCAAACAGCATGCCGGGCTGGCCTGCTGCCGCAACCCTACCTGTCATGTGCTTGGCAAGTCTAACTCAAGTTCTTTTTTTTTTTTTTTTCCACTGCCTTCCCCATCACATCAAATTGCAGTTGGGACCTCTCATTTTTTTGCTGCCTAGATGATTAAAAACCATGACTTAGTGGAAAAATGCTGACCTCCTTGGGGTCAGTCTCTTAAGCAGCTGTCGAAGATAAGATTGTGCTGGCAAAAGATTCAGCAACACTTTGCAAGTCTTTCTGTCTTTTTGTAAAGAAACCAAAAGGCTGTTTTGGTGCTGGGTGCTTTTTGTTTAATTTTGGAGAGAGCTACAATTTTCAGAGGCACAAATTTATATAATCTGATAATAAAATAAAATCTCCAATGGAAGGGTTAGAACAATTATTATAGTGATTTAACAAATACAATTAACAAGCTTTGTAAAAAATTTCTTTTTACTGGCTCTTGCCCTGAGCAATTCACAGAGCAAAGGTCTTTGGCAACTAGACAGTATCAGACGTTCAGTGTTCGGCTCACCCCCAAGGATTTAAAAGACTTGATTGTGGAGCTCTTGGTATGAAAGACAATGTTCATTATTATTTTGATTGCTGTGTTAGTATTACTGCCTCTTGCTTAGACATTGGATACTAACTCTAGTCCTGTGGAAATTGCTGTAAAGAAGACATTGGGATTTGAATTTTGCTTATGTCCTCAAAGCATTCTATCACCTCTGTATTTGCCAAGAACTTTTATTGAGATTAAAAGGCTACTTCATTTCTTTACAGGAGACACCGAGGTAGGAACTTGAAAGGACTTAACAGTGGTCACCCAACTGATGTCAAGGACATAGTAAGGCTCTAGATTCTGTGGCTTAACCCAGTGTCCTTGAATGCTTCATTGAAGTCCTATAGACATTTGGGTCCTGGTGCAACTAATTTCTGGGGATATGGACTTCAGCTTCCTCCTTTATAAAATAGGGATCCACTACTACCTATTTTATAGTCATTGTGAATATTGAGATTCTGCTCAGCAGGAGCAGCCATCCTCATCAACACCATTTTAATGTTTCTCCTTATTTTAAGAAGGACCTGTTCCCAGCTTGTAGTGGAACCAGATGCTTGGCACTCACTACTGTCAGCCTGGCCAGCCTCTTGTCACTTTGTTCCTCTTTAGTCTGAGTGATCATCTGAGATCTGCCACAGCTGTCCTGTGGAGGGTAGAGGCAGTTCCACTCACTGGGCAAGGACAGGTGGCTAGCTCCTCTTTATGCCCCCACTGCCCCCTCCCCCAGGTCCTGAAGGATAAGAGTCTGGGCTGGACTGTCATCCTGGTATCTGGGTTGGAGTATACATCAACCAACAGGACAGTGGAGATCCAGAGTCTTTCTCACCCTGGTCAGTTTTCTATCCATGGAGTAGGAATGTTGGCCTAGCTACATCCCAGTTCAAACTGAGATTTGAATTCTGACTCTGCCTTGAAACTCTCAGAGTCCCACAGTATGCTGTTCCTAAGGTGGTGGTAATGTCTCAGTACAGTAGTACCCGGTGGAGCTTTATAAACTGAAGTGCGCTGTCCACATATCATACCCAGAGCACATGCTTTGAAGGCACGTCATGTCCTTACCCTCAGGAAGGGCTCAGCTCCACAGGAAAAGCGGACAAAGACCCCAAAGCTCAGCTGTGCATGTACCATGCAGCCCAAGGGCAGATGTCAGGGTGTGTTGTGCAGCAGGAGATGGTGGTCAGCTTTCCTACGCCTTCATGACCTGCCTGGGTCCAGCCTCTTCCTAGTTTGTGTTCCTTCTGGCTGTTATTGCGATAATTTTTATGAGCCCCTTTAAGTCTTTAATGATGCGTGCTCTTGCAACTGGCTTAAGGCTTAATCCCCAGCAATAGGCCTTTATTGGCTAAATGATTAATAATCACTGGTCCAAAGGGATTGAGACACTTTGTGAGGCCTGTGGTTCCCAGAAAGTTCCACATGGCCTATGGCATAGTTAAGAGTGTGACAGCTGGGAAGCAGTGCTTGGAGTTGAGGAGATACCCTTGGAGTACCACGGAAGTTGGGAGGGCCTGAGTATTTCTTCTGAACCCTGTGATCACAGGACACCTGTGTGTTGCTATGAACCTGACCCCAGCAAAACAGGAGCAGGCAGCCTCCCAGGATTTCTTCCAAAGCGTGTTTCTATCTACTTGAGTTTTCCATGAACAGACTGTGTGACCTTCAGCAAGCCTCCTGATCCCTTGAGATCTGGGTTTCCTGCCTGTCAAACAGAGGTGAGAGGAGATGGCTTTGAAGGTTCCAAGTGTCAGTGATCTGGTGAGCCCCAGCTATCCAGACCAAAGCTCCTCTCTGCAGTTCTTGGGTGTGTCACTGAGGACTGCGAGTGGCAAAGGACCAACAGCCCAGTGGATTAAGTGCTTAACTGCTGGGCAAAGAATTGGGTCAGCAGTAGTCACAGGGCAGTATGTATGAAGAGAAGTCAGACTTGGCCTCTTGATTTTATAGCCTTGCTTGGGGTTTCCTCCAGCTCTGGGCAGGACCCACAGTAGACGTTAAGAGATAGAGCCTCCTGCAGGGGAGTCTGAAGGAGAAGTAGCCCTTCCAGGTGTACAGTCGGCAGGAAGCCAGGAGTTGCTCACAGGTGAGAAAGGAAGGCGCTCTGGATTTTTTTCCCAGCTAGTGTGTCTTTAGAGGCCCTGCCTTCGCTCTGGATTTGGTTTTGACTTGGCAGGTGCAATGAGATCCATCTATTTGGGGGCAGGTGGTACTGGGGCAGGAATATGAGAACAAAGTGGACCTGAATTTAAGTCTTATTTCCACTAGAAGGGTTTAGGTAACTCATTTTCCAAGCCTAAAATCTTCAACAGAACATGAGCAATGTGTATTTTGACGGTGTTGATTTAAAATTACAAAGAATTCGTAAAGAATTTCTACTAAGCACCAATAATTATTCTGGCAGGAACTTAATGTTTTGGTGCCTGTTGTATGTGTTGGATTGCAAGCATAAAATATTTATTGCACAACACGGCATGGCTTATTGTGAAGATGTGATTTTCTATTATTTTATCTGGAATACAAGCAGTTATACCCTCCCTTAAAGTTCAGTGACACTGTCAACGCCGCCCCCCACCCCAACTTTTGGCTTCAGGATTAGAAGTACATTCTGACTGAGGGGCAGTTTACTCTAGCACTCATTCTCCTGTCCCACAATATCAGGAAGGCAGAACACCATCCTGGCAGACAGCCAGTGCTCTGTGGGAGTGTGTGTGTGAAAGGAAAGAAGCAAGTTTCTCTTGTCAAATATATGTGTGACCAGATTTCTGCTGTGCTTTAATTTCAGATCTTCCCTGATCCATCAGACTTTGACCGTTGCTGCAAACTGAAGGACCGCCTGCCCTCCATAGTGGTGGAACCCACAGAAGGGGAGGTGGAGAGCGGGGAGCTGCGGTGGCCCCCTGAGGAGTTCTTGGTTCAGGAGGATGAGCAAGACAACTGTGAAGAGACGACAAAAGAGAAGAAGGAACAGTAAAGTTCCCTTGGGCTCACTGAGGTCGTGTCAGCCAGCATACCTGAACTGTTTTTCCCATGGTGATGGAAGAAGAGAGTGAGCCACATCATTCTGAAAATGTCAAAAGAGGCTTCCGTTTTGCACCTGAAAATCACCGAGTCGGTTTTCTTTTCTTTTCTTTTCTTGTCTTTTTGTTTTGTTTTTTTAATTTGTTGAGCAGTGGAGCCCTCTGACAACTTGCAAGGGCTTCTGAGAAAGGAAGCTGTTGAGAACAGGAGGTGGGGTGTGGGGAAGGGTTGGGGGGAAGGGGTGCTGCCTCATGCCTGTTATCCCTATCTGAACTCCAGTGCCAGAGGAGATGTGTATGGAGGGGGGAGGGCCTGGGGGGCTGGTGGGGAGGGGCAAATGAGCAAGGAACATTTTGGGTAAGAAACCAAACACCAGGCAAAAGAAAAAAATAAATATGCGCGCTATTTTTGAGAACTACCGCCAGGAAGTGCTAACCAGCATTTGCTTTGGCTCCTGAGGCGTCTGAAAACCAAGTTCATCTCCAGCTCTGTGTTGTTCACCGCCAGGCTTTGCTTTCATTTCAGGTGTGTTGGTTTCCCACAGAGAAGCAGGGACAGGAGCAAGAGGCTGTGTGCAAAGCCAGCTGAAGGGATACACAGGAAAGGAAGGGTCTACCTGTCCTCCCAACAAGTTGGAGGACTGTCCCAGCTGTCAAAGGCTCTCAGAGCCCCAAGGACCTGGAGGGTTTTAAGGGACAGTGATTTTGAGCTTTTCTCCCTTGGTTTATCTTCTTTTTTTTTTTTTTTTTGTGCCTCCCAGAGCACTCCCTGCCCTTGTTGAACACCCCAAGATTATAGCCTGAACATGGAGGTGCCACCTTCCACTGTGGGTCCCCCAAGAGTTGCTCTGAGTCCCCATGGAGGAGAAAAGTGGAAAGGTCAGCTTCCCCCAGACCTGCACTTTCCTTTCTGGCCATGGCAGGCAGCAGCACGGCTCCAATGGGGTTCTGAGCTTGGTTTCCATGGGAGTCAAAAGTAGACTGTATGTTTCTGGTTGGGATTGTGGGCTTTCATGTGGGAATCTGGGGGGCACTGGATGATGTGCTGAGGCTTCTCTGGGGGTGCCAAGCCTCCCATAGAGCAGCTGTGGGATCCAGTTTGAGACAGTAGGCATCAAGAGATCCCTGCTTCTTCCCATAGGTGGGTGGAAGATGTGGGGAACATAGGGATGTCCTTGTGGAACTGCAGCCCTCATTCCTTTCCCTCCTCTCATCTGTTTCCAGCAAGGGTGGTAGTTACATGAGGAAGTTAGCCTCTGGACTTACAGTCTCTGATTATAGCTCCACACCTTCTGGAACAACGGGTTGGAGGACAGATATTTCAAAGTAGGACTGTGTGGTTAAGATGTGGACTTAAAGCCTTCCTTTGGTTTCGACTAGCCAACTGAGGCACTCTCAGTGCCCCCCTCAAGTCTCTGTCAGTCCAGATGGACCCCAGGCTTTGGACTAGTGTGTCTAGCTGTATTTAATACCTCAAGGTCAGTGTGGCTCTGGGGCACGTTAGGGCAGGAGGATGGGGGTGTGCTGTTGCCATGGCATTTGGCAAGGTGTGATTCTGGGATGCCTATGGTCACCCCGCCCCCTGCCTCCTCCCTCTGTCGCCTGCCTGTGATACACACCGATGGCAATAACTTCTTCTGGCTCCTCGTAGGGGGAGGGGACTCAGTCAACCCCATGAGGGGGGCTTCTCTCTCCTTTCTCCCCCTCTGTTCTGTTTTGGCTACAGAGCTCTGTTCATCCCTCTCTCCTTCCCTCCCAGCATTTTTCATCCTTTGCCTCCCTTTATGAACAGGGGTCTGGCTTTTTAAATTCCTGTGTTTTGGTGTCTTCTCACCCGTAACCTAATCATCTGTCCCAATCTTGCTGTGTGATGGGGATGTGCTTGTAAACCCAGTATCAAAATGACTTTGTGTATATGTATGTTTACGGGGTGGTTTCTTCCTTTTGCCGGTCACTAGACCACATTGTACAACTGTGTGCAGTCTGAGCAGGCCAGGGGCTGACAGGCCCCTCAGCGGTTGGGCCTTTTGGGGGGACCCAGCTGCTCTTGGACAAGTGGCTGAACTCCTGTCTGGCCTCCTCTTTTTTTTTTTTTTTCTTTTTTTTTTAAGTACTTTGTGTGTATTTCTAACTGATCGTATTGAAAAAAAAAAATCCTAGTATTTCAGTGAAATGCCTGTTGTGAGATGAACCTCCTGTAACTTCTATCTGTTCTGTTTTGAGGCTCAGGGAGAAACTAGCATTTTTTTTTCCAAACTACTTTTTTGTCACTGTGACAGTTGTAAATAAAGTTTGAAAATGCTTTCCATTCTGGTCTGGGTTCCTTTTTGCCTGTTCCAACTGGGCAGAGTCAGTTCAGGAGCTGGAGGAGTCTTGCATGAGGTTCCCTGTGCATCTCACCTGCTGGCCTGTTGCATGAACTCTTCCTGAGGAGACGTGAACAAATGCTTACTCACCCCAGACAGGGCACTGACAGCAGACCAAAGTAATGATTCTGCCAAAGTCCATCTTTGTGAACTAATGGGTTTATTGGGCTTGCTTACAGAAGCCTGGGTGACCCTGAAGCAGCCATATCACTAAAAAGTCTCCTCCTGCGTGGGCGACATCTTCCCCATAACTGCATAGAGACAGTTCCCCTTCAGTTAGCCTTCCACCTGCTAAGCACTCCAGCACCTCCCAAGATCACGTGCAACTGGATCAGAATTACATACAGCTGAGAGGGGAGCAGGAGGAAGTATGTCTGGAATCTCAGGTGATGGTCCAATGACCCTCCTCAACCTCTCTCTCTATGAGGGAACCTCAACAGGCCTGACCCGGAGGGTCTCTTGTGTGTAATCACAGCTTCTCTGGTGAAGATGGTAATGGCTGTTAGACCCAGTGGCCGGCATTCTACCCTTCGGCATGACCTCATCTCTTGGTTGAACAGAAGCAGACATTCTTTTCTTCTCTGTCAGTGGTCCTCAAAGAACTCTACAAGCAAATTTGGATGTTTGTAGTAGAGTCTGAGTATCAGTATTTTCTAGAATCACCACAGGGTAATTTTAACATGAAGTCAATGTTTGAACTACCCTCTTAAAGGAAGACACATCCAAGATGTACCCTCAGATTGTTCACAAAGGCTGGCGTGTGAGGAGTGGCTGTACTAGATACAGGTCCAGAGTGGGGCTGGGGCAGTGGGCCCAGCCACCAGCCAGTACTTTCTGCTTGTTGGACAAAAGGGAAACAAACTAGCGGTGTCTTGGCTCCCGTGGCATGTCACTATGTCAAATTAAATGACAAGTATGGTGAGTTTAAGGTCAAGAAAAGGCTGAGTGCTCTGAGAATGATCATCAGTGGGGAGCATCAGGAAGGGCTTCAGGAGGCATGCCAAGGAATTGGCCAGATAATGAGTAGCAGAGAGAGGAGGGGTTTGGATTGTGGGGGAGAAAGCCTCTGCACAGAGAACAGCTCAGCATGAACTTGACTGATAGAGGTGGAAAGGAAGTAAGGTGAAGGGCTGCTCAGGCCTAGGTGAATCACACAGGGTAGTGTGATTTGCATTTTTACACAATCTGGTTCAGTGGTGAAAGGACTGGAGGAGGCAAGATGAAGTGCTCAGAGCCCAGGAAAGGCTTTGTGGAGGAAAGAGGGAGAGAGGGTGATGCTTTATAAAAGGAATTTGGGGGCATTCTTCTACCCCAGGATTGGATAGTTTTCCTTCACTAAGCTCTCTCTCCAGGATCCTAAATGATGAGAGAGATAATCAGGTGATTTGCGCTGTGATGCCATCCAATGTTAATAGACTATCAAGCCATATTAACACTAGTTATAGTGGAGCACTAGATCAATACATCTGCCACCCTGAGGGGTAACTTGAAGGATCTGTCCATCTTCATGTTAGACTGTTCCTCTATTTCATTCCAACAGCCTGAAGATAGGGTTACTTGAGTGTGGACTTCCTGAACACAATCTCTCAAAAAATCTTTTTATTTGCATATGATATCATTTACATGGAAAATCTTATGAAAGTACAAAAAAAGAGAAAATTGATATGTGATATTAGTATGTTTGCAGCACCTAAACTCAATATATAAAAATCAATTAGATTTCCATGTAGTCATAAGCAACTGAAAATTGAAATTTAAATAGCATTTATATTAGCATCAAAATATTCTTAAGGATAAGCGTTTGGTATATAAAATCTGGTCAATATAGCCAGGCGTGGTGGCATGTGCCTTTAATCTCAGCACTCAGGAGGCAGAGGCAGGCAGATCTTTATGAGATCAAGGCAAGCCTGATCTACATAGTGAGTTCTAGGCTACAGAAAGACCCAGTCTCAAAAAACAAAAAATAAAATAACAGCAAAACAAGAAACCTGGTCAACAAAATTCATAAAACTTTGGAGAGAATTTAAAAATGAAGAGGATAAAACAGGGCTGGAGAAATGATTCAATAGTTAAGAGAGGGTTTGGTTTCTAGCACCGACGTAGTGGCTAGCAACTGTCCTTAACTCCAGTTCCACAGGATCTGACTCCTCCTCTGGCCTCTTCAGGTACTGTATGCATGTGGTATACCTACGTACATGGCAGGCAAAACACTCATACACATAAAATTTAAAAATTAATAAAATAATGTTTTTTAAAAGAAGAGGCTAAATGAGAGATTTACCATGTTCATGGACTTGAACACTTGATGTAGTTAATTTGTCAGTTCTTTCCCAGTTGATCTATAGATTCAAGACAATAAAAATCTCAGCAAGAAATGTTTTCTTAGAAACTCATTATCTGATTTTGCAATTCCTATAAAAATGCAAAAGACCTAGAATAGGAAAACAAACTTTGAAAGAGAAAACAGAAGTTGGAAGACTTGTGCGTCTTGATTTCAAAGCTTATTATAAAGCAACAGTAATCAAAACAGTACAGTATTGGTGCCAAGATAAACAAATAGATTAAGACAGAAGAGAGTCCAGAAATAGCCCAACATAGATATGACTGACTGATTTTTGACAAAGGAGACAAGGCAACTCAGTGGAGAAAGGAGAATCTTTTCAACAAATGTAGTGGAACCACTGGACCTCCAAAAGCAAATAGCCTCTGGCATTGAAG